TATCGGTATCGGACATAAAAAAGTGGTATCGTGCCATCTCTAGTCCAGACTAGAAGTAATAAACGTGTGAATTCATTTCTGAGACAGGAGGTTTCTAATTTTAGAGATATTGCACAAATGCAAAAAAGCAGTCCTACAGAGATGCTTAATAAGCACACTGAAGGAAATATTGTGGTCAAAAATGACTCCAAGACTACACAGTGTTACTCGAGGCCAAGGTCATGCCATCTGACATATCTGGTTTGACATGATGTTTCTGAATTATTTTTTTTTTTAAGGGCCCAATACAAAAACCTCAGTTTTATCTGAATTTAGAAACAGGAAATTTGAGATCATCCAAGACTTTATGTCATCAACACGCCATTTCTGCAGTTTAAGTAATTGGTGTTTGTGATCTGGTGTGTCACACCAATTACACACTAGAAACCAGAATGAATTTCATTACATTCTGTATATGTGCAAAATTAATATTTACATGGTAAACAGATATTTTAATAAATTTTCCATTTCTATGTTTTGTTACCAAGACGCTCCAAAAAATGTAAGTAGAGGTTTTCATTTTGGGAGGTACAGGTCTAACGATTCTCGTCTTATCTCGGTCCAGGTCCAGTGTTTGGCTCTGGCTCCGCCCTTCCTGACTATTTTTATCTGGAGACAACACCCTCAGTGGTTTCACAACTGCAGGGTGACACCATACCCCATGTGATTTTTCTTAAAATGAACACTTCTATAATGTAATTATTCTTTTTTCAATAGGTTTTTAAGCTGTTCTGAAAGTGGGTGCTGCAGCTGTGAAGACTTGATGCTATTGATGGCTGTGGACCTTACCTGGCTTGTCCCGGCAGACTGCCGATGGGCTCTACTGCATCTGCACCATCTCTGCAGCAAAGAAGGCCACATAACAAGAGTGAGAAGATTTGAATGTACTGACCTAAACTTCTTCTGGTCAACCCCAAGTCATTTTAAGACTTACGTAACAAAGATTGGGTAGATAAGATTGTCAGGTCTTAAATCGGCAATGCAGGTCTGCCAGTATCTTAGGGTTGGGTGGAAGTAGCCACTGTGGAGGATTGATTCTGCAGGCGTCTGCATCTTTACACAGAAACAGGGAAACCATCAATGACAAAGATCCAAAATATTCCCTCTCTGTCACACATTTGCCCATCAGCTCGGTGACCGTTAACACTGATCAAGCATGCATGGAGCTGCTTCTTCAAACAGCAGCTCGGCTCAATCCAACTGCAGAGTCAACAACCCACAGCTGCCTCCGAAATGTTATCTTAATAGACTGAACCAGCTTTTCACCACAAGATCTTAGGGTTATGTTACGGTCTTGTAACTGCCATGCGGACTTGGCCTGACAGGACTACCTACAAGAAATGAGCCGATAATCGCTTTTTCATTACTCTTAATCGTTTTATTACATTTATTGTTATATATTCAAAAAATACATGTGTTCCTTTTGAATGTTTAATTCTTCTTAGTATATTTCTAACTTAACCTGAATTATAAGACCCCTCCTAAGCAGTAGGTCTGTAAATGGGGTCTAAAATGAAAAATTAGATTTTCCAAAATTATCGTCTTATAATAAGAGTACTATAAAGAAACTCCAGAATTTTGTTTCTTCAGATCATTTACTGATAAATTGTACCACAAAATATAAATTATCATGTTTGCTCAATCAAAAATGTAAGTAGAGGTTTTCATTTTGGGAGGTACAGGTCTTTTTGAAGGAAGGAAGGAAGGAAGGAAGGAAGGAAGGAAGGAAGGAAGGAAACAAACTGATATTGATATATGAAGCTAAAATTTCACAGCAAGTATTATTTATGTGCAAACTTTGGACCACAAAATTTTAGGAAAAATCTAGGATGTAAAAATGTAATGATTTCAGAAAGAATAACTCCACAGTAGGAAGCGCATAGTGGCATCTTAACACAGTTACTAAATATTTTCTAACCTTGTTTATGATCAAAGTGAGAACCGCAAAGGCCAAAAAACACTTTAAATGAGACGTCATTCTTCTCTGAACTTTAATTCAAGCTTTTCATTGAGCAGGTACTCTTCTTCACGTTTAGTTAGAAAATACAGTTTTTACTGACTGGGGAACTACAGAAATCATCGCTAACCGCAGCTAATGTCATAAATATATTATAGTTGTTTTAAAAGACATGAAAAAAGAGCAGACGTTAAAATACACCAATAAACTCACCTCTCAAGACAACAGCTTCTCACTTCTCCGTACTGAAGTCAACTGACATTGTGTCCTTCTTCGGTGGTGTCGATTTTAGTTTTATGCTATCGCCACCTATCGACTGCAGTTCGGCTTGTAATAAGGTTGTCTAATATAATTATACTTTTAATTTTTTAGAAAAAAAATAATACAAATAATTGCTATTCATGTATCTGTAACAGTTTGATATATCTTTGGGCATTTTTCAACAATATATAAATAAACGCAAAAAAACAAAACAAATTATCCTTTAAGGGCCACCGTATCAGCCTGTGGGGTGGGGGTAGTGTTCTCGCGATATCTCTCAGCAGCAAGAAAATAGCAGAAGGTACAATGCTAACAGCTTGTTAGCCTAGGTGGTTTCTAAAATTTCAGACATCTAGTGTGATGAAGAAGAAGACTCGCATTTGTTTCTAAGGTAAATAAAAGTGTTATACTGAAACACGTCTTGTGTATGTAAACAAGCGCACTGTTAGTAATTAGAAGCTCAGTATAATTTCTAGCTAACTGGCTATTAGCTTAAATTGAAGCTATCTTCGTGATTGCCGCTGGATTCTCTGTATTAAACACTATTTTTTGCAGTTACTCTCGCGTCAGACGTGTTTACCTCACTCAGAGCGGTAGGGCTGAGATTAATAAGAATAGTTATGGAGCTGTCAAGGTCTGGAAATCAGGAGGGAGTGGACGTCAGTGACGTTTATTAATCAACAGCCTTGTATCTATAAAATATGGGTGTTTTTGGGGGCCCTGAGCATTCAAAAAAGACTACGAGTAAACAATAAAGTGTAATTAAAAATCATGTACACTTTTAAGAAATATATTTAAAACACATTGTAAAATCAATAAATGACAATAAAACAATGCATACACAAAAAATAGTTTAAAAAGAAAATCATATGTTATTAACGCTACTATTGCTGAATAATCATAATTACACATTTTTAAAAATATGAGTGTGTGTGTGTGCGTGGAGGATAAATAAGTAAAAGTTCCAAAATAATACAAATCTGCTTGTTCAACTGTGCTGGGTGATCCTGTTATCAGTTTTGATGAGTGAAGCACAGTATGTTTTGAAATACACAAAAGGGTTTATTTCTGATAAATTCGTTCAGGGATATATTGCAATGAAGCTACATGGAAATACAAAGCATGTATACAGAGAGAGAAGTATTTTGGAAGAGTCAGTATTTGGTATGACCACCTTTATTCTTCAACACACTCTGAACTCTCTTAAGCATGTTTCTTTAAGTGCAACTACAGTACTGTGCAAAAATCTCGAGCTACCCCTCATTTCTTTACATTTTAAAATGCACCAGTTAATTGAAAAATGTGCAAAAACAAATGGAAATACAGTGTGTATATTAGGCAGCAAGTAATATATGCATCAAATGAAGGGCCAAATGTGTCAGGCCTTTGGTTAAAAAAAAAAAAGATTTCCTCTTAAGGGAATTACTTACAGATACTGTTCATCTGCTGTAGATCGCTTTTTAGGCCTGCGACTGCTTCACTTATCCAGATTTCTTTTAATTTTTTTTTTTTATTAAAAGGACACACTGCACAGGATGCCAAGATTTGCCAGGTTTTTGGATAATTTGGGAATCAACTTGTGGGTCCCAAAATACAATTTTGAACTTGTCAAATTTTGTGTTGTTGTCGGGTCTTGTTTTGTTTTTTGTTTTTGTTTTTTTGAAAGATGAAAGTTAAAATTCTTATTTTAACTTATGTGTAGGCTCACCGGTTCATCCTTAGTTAGGATTAGGTGAGGTTAGGTCAGTGTATGAGTGGCTTATCATTAAAACAAAAAGCATTCCTCTGAAAATGACCAGGTACAAGATTTGAAAATGGAAAAAGCAACCAATATCCAAATGAAAACTTTGAAAGACCTGGAGTGGTGTTGCTCTTGACCACTAGAAGAAAATGACATCCTTAAAACAAAATATAAAGGATTGAGGGGTGGCTCTAGACTTTTGCACAGTACTATATGTCTGTAACAAATTAAAAACTGTGCCAACACTGTGGCTAAGAGTTGAAATTGTGTAGTTTAGTCTGTAAAATGTAAACAAATGTTTAAAAATAAGGTGGTAAACTAATTTAATGACAAAGCTATGATCATCATTAGCTTTTTCACTTCTATTGTCGTTCCCAGGGTGGATCTGAAGATGTAGCCTACAGTGTGCCACCTCTCCACCACCTAACCACTCCTGCCCTGGGATAATCAGCCCTCTGCCACCCTCACCCTGGAGTACTTTGACCTGCATCCAGGGCTGCCCTGTGTGTGACTTGGCCATCCACAGTCACTCCGTCCCCAACGTCCTTCGCCATGCTGTTCTCCCTTAGAGAGCTGGTCCAGTGGCTGGGCTTCGCGACCTTTGAACTCTTCCTCCACCTGCTGGCTCTGATGGTCTTCAGCATGTTGGTCGCCCTGCAAGTCGATAAGTTCACCGGGCTAAGCTGGTGGCTGGTGTTCGTCCCACTGTTTGCTGCAGACGGCCTCAGCACATACTTCACTGCCATCGTGTCCATCCGGCTTTACCAGGATAACGAGAAGCGCCTGGCGGTGCTGCGGCTCCTCTGGGTCCTAACGGTGCTCAGCCTGAAGCTGGTGTGTGAAGTTCTGCTGTGCCAGAAGCTGGCCCAGCAGGAGCAAGCCAAAGACCTGTGGTTCGGCCTCATCGTCTCGCCGCTTTTCATCCTCCTGCAGCTGCTCATGATACGAGCGTGCCGTGTCAACTGAGGAGGAGCTGAAGTGTTTCATCTAACTGACAACATAGAAGCAGAAAGCAGCTTTGGGTACATCCACACTAATAGGTTTGCATTTTAAAATGTTCTCACTACTCCAGCATTTAAAGACCCCTAAAATATGCGAGACTGCCCTCGTATATTTTATCCCTTCCTGCGTACAAAACATTAAATACAACTAACATGTGTTGAATAGCCTATTAAAATAGATACATTATAATGAGACAAAAAAAAGAAGAAATCCACAAGACCAGCACAGTTAATAAAAAAGTGAAATAAAATCTAAAAGCCCAGCGAATAACATCGAATACAATTAGCATAGAAATGAGAGGGGAATGAAATCCAGAAAATAAATACGGAGTACACGGGATAAAGACTTCAGGATGATATTGTTGGGGCAAAGTCCTCTGCTGCCTGTATGTCAAGATTTTGTGTTGTAGTCTGGACGGGCAGAAACCGAAACTTCTGAAAGTGCTGATGCAGACACTAACATTTCTCATAGGGCCACAAAAAGGAAGTGAGAACACTGTAGCTCGACTTGGAAACCATTTATGATTGCATTCTTTATGTTTGTGAAAAGTATGACTTAATTTTTAGCCGTTGCCAAGGCTTCCTCATATGTTTCACTTTATCACAAATCCCACAAGTTACTTTCAACATCAGTTCTACCCACAGGAAAAAAAACATATAAAAGATGAATGTAGCTTCTGGGTCTTAAAAAAACAAAAAAAGTGAAGCTAGTGCTAAAGTGCCTTAAATCTGCCACCAGGGGGCAATTCCTTTTGGTTTCAAAATGACTTCTAATTATATAAAAGCCTGTGGGAACACATCACTTGACTCCCTTGCCCTGTGACGCATGCATTTATTTGTTAAATTAGTAGTTACAGGTCTTAATAAATAAAACATAAAGGTAATTTTCTAATCTTTGGTCATTATTGGGTCAGAAATGTGTTAACCAGTGAGCTTGTGGCATTCCTGTTTCTCAGTCAGATCCAAACTTCTTAAAACGCAAGTATTGTGACAGACCTCAAAGCATAATAACAGAACTTCACTAACCAACAGGTGAAGTCACAGTGGCTACATCTATCTTTTATAGACAGTTTATGCTTCCACTTTGTTGTGAGTCCAAGTAAACAAGCCTGTCTTTGCGCTCTGTCACTGCTGTTCTTCCCCCATAGTCTTTTGCATAAGATTTGTTTCATCTTTACACTGGCTCAAGCACACACATTAGTTCTTAGTCTTCACCATTAAGAAAAATCCCTATTTCCATTAAAAATAAATAATAATAAAAATCGTATCCTCTCATTAATCTCCCGTTGTTGTCCAGACTGCACAAGTGAAACATGTTGGTTTGGACATGGACATTTTCTGGTTTAAAATACAAACATGTTAGTGTGGGTGTAGCCTGCATCTGCCATTAGAGATTTTAAAGCATAACCATCTTTCATTTTTATTTTTGTTCTCTTTGGTTCATTGGCACCTCCCCCCCCCCCAAAAAAAAAAAAAGAGCGTTTCACATTTCAGGAAACACGCAGTTAATTTCTAATTGCTTTAACATGCATAATAAACAGAAGATTTTCTCACCTGCTTGAGTTATTATTTTAAAAAAAATCTAAAGAAGAAGCACACTTGCTGGATATATTTTGGTGTGCAGGTTTTGTGATACATTTGAAAGAGCTTGTATTTGGACCATAGTGGCACATCTGCACTGATCAGTCAGTGGTAGAAAATTTACTCCAGAGGTATCGCTCTAATGCACTGTGCACTCAATGTTAAAGCAGCAAAGCCCCAGGTAACCTTTTTGAGCAACTTTCATGACGTTGCTGCAGCTTTATTGATTGCTGTTTCCCTACTTGGACTGAGAAACTGCTTGCCAGCAAAAATGTGTTTAGGATTTTAATCTGACTATGTCGTGTGTGTTCATCAAACTCCATCACAGAGAAGTGGTTTGGACTTGGTAAAAAGCTGGATGTGAAAACTGTCGGGACTCAGAGGGGATTGTTTTACACATCATCCCTAAAAAAACAAACAAACTGCTGTTTACTTTGACAACATGTAATGTGTTTAGTCTATTTTGAGTCCTTTGCTGTCTGTGTAGTGCATCTATTTAAGGCCTCACTTTAGGGTAAATCCTGATGTGAAATTCTGTGTATATGTTGATTTTTTTTTCTTTTTAAAAAAAAATAAATTAAAATGTTATTTATGTTCTTTTTTTTTTCTGTGCCACCTTTTTATTGTCATCTGTATATACATGTAAATAAAATAAAATTTAATGGTTGTCCATTAAATGTTTTGAGTCTGTGTTCTCTCTGTCCACAATGGGGCGCTAGTTCGTGGGGTAAAAGACTAAACATTTATGTCACCGCATAATTAAGTCAAATGCAGCCATTTTTTTCTGCATATAGAAATCAAACAAGTATGACTTTTGTTTTTTCTTAAAAGCAGTTTTAATAATTGGGACTTCATCTACCTAACCATGGCACTGTTAACACTGACCTACATCGTAGGATATGTTTGTACATCATCCATTTTCTTCTCATTCAGGGCCTCAGGGTGCCTATCCCAGCTATGACAGGGTACAGGGTCACTAATCAAGCTAACTCTCCATCAGATGCTTTTGGACTTAGAGCACAGAAAACCTGCTCAAGCACAGGGAGAACCCAGCCTGGAACCCATCCTTAAAGCAAACATCACATCTTTAGTGCTCTGTAGGGTAATGCGTATTCTAATGTTTAAAATTATTTCTATTAGATTTGATGATAACAATATGGGAAGCTTCTCTACAGGTGAACAAAAGCATAATATCCGGCTGCATACCAGTTCGGTGTGGTGTTTCTGATTAAAGCTGGAACTGTTTCCAGAATGGTCTCTGCAAATTATAGAAAATCTCTTTCTGAAGCTGATCTGCAGAACAATGTGGAAAAATTCCTGGTTTGCAGATTTTCCAAGTTTAAAATGTATATACATTTAAAAATAATTAAAGGAACGTATTTATGGCTGCATACGCTTGATATACTTTACATTTTAAAATAAAGATAAATAAAATACCAAATATTATGAAGGTTTTATGTCCTTCTTTTGTTTAGTTTTTTTCTCTGCATCTTTCGGTCCTGCTTCAAAGGGGAAATAAGGCACACTCTTCGCCCTCTTCAGCCCTGCTCTTCTTAATTATTGCCCCGCGATGAATGTTTTATGAGCTACAGTAATCTCTTGTAGTACCCAAGAATAGCCCTCTTAGTGCTGATTCATGTGCAGCAGACTCTTTCCCAGCTCATCTGATCGCTGCACGCGGATTATCGACAGGTAGTATCACCGGCAAATGCTGAATGAACCGAGGTTAAGTGTATTTAACACTCCGACATCGCAACCAAAACCATTTAGAATAACCTGATTCCTATCCAGTGAGACTGGGGATAAAAACTGTGGAAAAACCACAAAAAGAATTATTTTGAACACTACTGGGACATAATAGGTGGTAAAGTTTAAGAAATGTTCCCCATTTAGTAAATACAACAAAGGTAAATTAGGGTTTTAAGTCAATTTTAACAACAATAATAATGTGTAGTGGTTATAATTCTACTGTGTTATGTAAACGACATTTTTGTTGTGATTAACTACAAATTAAACAGCGTTTTTGTAATTAAACAGCAACAAAATTTATATTTAATCACATATTGTAAAAATATCTTGAACTTGAACGCAGCACTTTTGATTGGCAGGCCTAATTTGCTCCGTCAACAATAGAAACGGGAGGGAGGGGGCGTGCCCAGAGCACACAGATACCAATCACAGACGCTCGGCTGCCGCTGAGGGGGCGGAGCCGCGTTCAGGGTCCTTTGGGGAGAAAGGGAGCCAGACAGTGTGACAGCAGAGGGAGAGGAGAGAGAGAAGAAAAAAGGGATGTGTGTGAGTGTGCGGTGATCGGTGCTGCAGGTACAGTCACAGCCGGAGATACAGCTTCAAGAGCCGCACCGGACCGCGGCAAGACCGCCTCGGAGCCTGCCTGCCTCTCTCTCTCCTCCTCATTTCTTCCAGTAACAACCCTCCGCGATGTCTGGCGGAGGAGAGGTTCGCGTCCTCCGCCAAGAGGGCGGCCAAGAGAGCCCGAGGATGCCGGCCTGGAAGCGAGAAATCCTGGAGAGGAGGAAGGCGAAAGGCGGCGGCGGGGCTGGGGGAACCGGTGCTCCGGAGGCTAGCCCCGGGGGAGCGGGCCCGCAGCGGGTAAACGGCGAACTAACGGGGAATGTGAACGGAGGAGGTGGTGGCGCGACCGGGCGGAACTACACCATCACCCCGGCCACCCAGCACTTCTCCCACAACAAAGAGCCACAAGCGACGGCCGCGGCGACACCGAGGGAGGAGGGCAGACACGAGAGTCTGGTGCTGCAGGAGAGCCTGGGGCCGCTGGAGAAGAACCCGTTCATCAAGCTGGAGAAGGAGCGGAGGAGGCGGCAGGAGCAAGAAAACGCCACCCGCCCGGTCCAGCACATCCTGGAGCTGTACGGCAGTGTCCCCGGCATACGGACTATCCGAGCGGAGAACATCATCATCATCGAGTCGGACCCGGATTACTTTGCGGAAGGTGGAGGCGTGAAAAGCGAGTGCCAATGGCAGCAGAACGGTGTGAGTAGTTACAGCTCTCTAAACGACCTTCTGGACCGCAGAGGGAGTGCTGTTACCGAGATAAGAGCCAAGGAAGTCGTCATTTATGACACCACGTTAAGCAAGAGCGAGGAGAACCTGAGCACCCTGGGCCGTCCTGATCAGGAGGTCCCCTATAATACAGGTGACGGTCAAGGTAGGGTCAGCCGGATCCTCCAGAAGTTTGACAGCAACTATGGGAAGCTGCAGAAGAAGTCCCACAGCACAGAGAACCTCCTGGACCTGGATTGTAGTGCCAGCAGTAGGCCAAGACTCTGGCCCAAGACGCAGCCAGATCTGGTGCCAAAGCCCAGGCCGGGTCCACGGGTCAGCAGCCCGGGCAGTAGCCAGCCATCTTCGCCTGTCTTCCAGGGTCCCTGGTCTTCCAAACCAAAGCCACAGCCTGCCGTCTCTGGGCCGGGCAGCCCCCAGCGTTCACAGCCCGTGTCTTCCTTCCGTCAGCGCTTTGAGGAGAGTGGAGTCCACCACAGCGCAGCCGTCACCCCCAGAGACGAGCCGGACAGGGGGACAAACAAGCCCACCAGGGAGAGAGACTGGGAGGCCGCTGAGGTGCCCCCCAAACCTAAGGTGCCATGCTCTCCGGAGACCCGCCGTGCCCGTGCCGAGGCCCCTTTGAGCCCTGTCTCATCCAAGGTGACCTGCTCCTCACACGAGTTTGAAATCCGTCCCGCTCCAAAGCCAGACCTCGCCCAGATTCCTGATGGCGACACCCAAGCACGGGCCCTCGCAAACCTTCGCCTCCAGTCCCGAAACTCCTTCACAGTGATCCCCAAGCGCCATTTGGCTGCCTCATCTTCAACAAGCAGCCCCATGGTGACACCTGGCCCCATCAAGTCCTCCCCCTCACACAGAGCAGCAGAGGTGTCCAAACCTGGAGTGCCAACCTCCCCCACCCTGTTAAAGAGGAAAGAGGAGGAGGAGAAGGAGGTGGAGAGGCCATCCAAACCTGAACCATCTCCTCTCACTGTTGCCACAAGTCCTGCTCCTTCTCTCTCTGAACCTTTATCTCCATCCCCTGCTCCCACTTCTCCGCCTGTCCTCTCTTCACCCCCCTCTTCTCCAGCTATCCCATCTTCACCTCCCTTCTCTCCCACCCAGTCAGTCTCTTCTCCAGTGCAACCTCCAGTGGATCAGCTGCCAGTAACAAACATTGACGACATCGAGGTGGAGCCCCCACCCGAGCGTGTCCCTGTTCCGAGCCCCTTGGTGCAGAGGAAAAAGGGGAACACATTCACTGTGGTGCCTAAACGTCGGGTGGAGTCTGATGCCCAGCTGAGCCCACCTGAGCCCCAGCAGGAAGCCCCGAGTGAAGCCCCTCCGGGGTCAACCCCTCCCCAGGCCCCCTACGCCCAGCTGGGTTCCCTGTTGAAGAAGCGCTACCCTGCTGTGGAGGAGATTGAAGTCATCGGCGGGTACCTCTCCCTTGCGAAGTCCTGCCTCTCCAAGACTGGCTCCACGGGCAAAAAGGTGAGATGAAACAATATATTTAATTATTTTTGTGGCTTGTTAAATGTGAATATTTGGTGATTTATAGCACTTTAACACTACACGATGCATTACAACAGGCCTGGGTACATGCATGCAAAAAGCAAGCAAATATGGGCTATTTATGAGCACATGGCCTTACACATGAATGCTTTACTTCATTACAATGATGCCGTGCTTGACACTGTGCAAACAACTGAGACAGTAACCTCTCTGCGAGACCATCAAATCATGGCCTCTGTTGCTGACACATGCAAGACAGATGTTTAATCAGCTGCAACCTGCCAAAAGTGTATATGAGCATACAGTTAAGTGCACAAATATTTGCATGGTGTAATTATGCAGCATTGTGGTGGATTTTTGGTTTATTTTGCTTTTTCAGCCTGTATCACTTGCATCCACATCTCTGTGGACCTCACATTTAGAGGTCCAGTGAACAGCTACTGAATACAAGTTCAGCACATCTCCAGATCTTTTTTGTGCATAATTTCTATTGAATTTAAGAGAGAGCAGGCCTCATCTGGCCATTAAGGTGTCTGTCCAAATTAAGTGGGGGACTGTGCAAAAAATGGCTGTAATTCCCAAATGGTTAATGCAATGCATTTGTGCTAAACTCCTCGAATCAAAACTGAAAGTGTGCATATGCTTTTTAAGTGTACTGTGATGTTGTACAGAGGGAATACTGTCTGTATGAGCGGGGTATCTTCTTTTGGAATAACATTGCAGACTTGCAGTCAGTAGCCTCGAGATTCATTAACACAATGCTGGTTTTTATCTGTGTTTTGGGTGTTATTTAGTTTTCCTTCTAGGACATCGGGTTGTATTTTGCCTGTGTGTGCTTGTTTGCTGAAAATCTCTGGGGTTTGAACTCTTCATAGATCAATCAAACACACAAAGTACTAATATTATTGTTGCCTTGCAATCTCATGCCTTGCAGCCTTCCCAGGAGACTTGCGCAAGTTTCATGTGATCTAAATTTAGCAGCTGAGCGTCACAAATGCAGGGGCCGCTGTGTGTGGGGTTTATTATTTCTTCTCTTTTTTTCTGTGTGCGTTTCTTTTGCATCCTTACCAAACTGTGGTCACCTGAGTTTTATTTTGGAGGATTGTTTTCACCTTATCCTGACCGTTTTTGTCATGTTGGGCTCCTTTAAATGGCCCATCACTTGACCCGCTGCCAGCTTAAGTGGATTAAAAGCGTGTGTTTATGCAGTCACTTGGAACAACACGCTGTGGACTTCTGTCCAACAACAGCATGTTAGTGCGGCATTAGGTTAAATGGCCCTCCAAGCTTATTGACTGAACAGCTGTTCTCAGTTTTTTGTCCACTGTAGGTACAAATATATTGCTTCTTTTGCAAGAAGAGCTGAGATATTCCCAATCCTGGTCATGAATCATAATTAAATCATAGCACAGAGCATGTTGGAGGCATGTTCATGTCACATTAATGTATCTGATGAAGGTCCTGCCTTGTTTTTAACAGTTTTAGGGGTTTAATTAAATTTGTGGCAGTGTTTCTATTTAATTTTGCAAGGTGCTGCAGGCTGCATCCAGAGTCTGTGTAATGTTAAGCGTGTTGGTGTTTATGTTGCTCGGGTATCTGCAATAAAGGGAGAAGGGAAGAGAGCCTGTGGCTTGAATTTGAATATTTTATTGACGTCTTGGTGGTTCAGATGCTGAGGAGGGGGTGTGGTATAGAACCTCAGCAGGATGTTACTTTTCACAGTTCTGCTTGGGGGGGGATTGTTTTTGTTTCAGCCCCTGAATATTTTTAGCCATTTGGCATGTCCTCGATGTAGGCCAGTGTTACAGCATCTCAGACGTCAGCCTGCAGGTGTGCTTCCTCGACCCGGTGAACTGTAATCTCTGCGAGTAAATCCAGCTACCTGTACAAGCAGGCCAAGAAACCTGAAGCTCACAACTCTACTGTGTGTTTTTTAGCATAATCGCTGCATGCTTGGTTAATTATGTTCATAGCCATCATAAGTATTTGCAGTCATGTAAAAGAGAATATTGGCTCCCTGTTAAATCCAGAGTTGAAGAGTCTGGTCCTAAAGACCTCAAACTATCATATTATCCTAACAAAGCACTTCATTCCCTCCATGCTGAATGTGAGGCAGAGCCTTCAGTTGTCAGACCCTTCTCCTGTGGGACTAGCTCCCAGTTTGGGATCAGTAGACCTGTTTATATGTCATTACTTATATGACATTACTTGTTGATGTTGTTTCTCTTATCTCTCCTCACCCCTCAGCCTGAGCCTGGTTCTTTTCCTGTTAAAAGGAGTTCTTTCTCCCCACCATCACCACATGCTCATAGGGTGGTCTTTCCTTGATCGCAGGCCCTTTACCATACAATATAAAAAGCCTTGAGAAATTGAAACGAACCATTGCATTTACTTAGAATGCAATTTATTACGATAAATGATTCATTAAGTTTTGGTCTTCAAAGGTTTTTCTTTTTTTAGACAGTGAGCAGACAGAGGATGACAGGAGGGTCGCACCAGGGCCCAGTTAAAGTTGACCTCCTATATAGAGTATACTTGTTAAATTTGTGGCTGCTCATAGTCAACATGCCAAAGACTTACATCATTTTCAGAGAATTTAAAAGTTATCCCTCAATGCCCAAAATCTCAGGCATCTAAATGATGTCATAGAAAGAAGTTATCCCTCATTTGTCCATGTTAGGAACAGAAGCTCGGTGCACCTGCTGTTGTTTTGGAGGGGCAGCCAGTCAGAAGAGAAAAGTGGAGCTTATCCTGAACTATGTGGCTGTTTAAAACTGTGAATCACGCAAAGCAACTCGAGTAGAGTCTAAGAATAAAAAACATGGAGGTGGAAATGAGTAAAATAAGTACCTGTTAAGTTACTGTACCGAAATAAATAAGCTGACAGCAGTATTGTCAGTTATTTTTGCCATGTTGAGTCTAAGTGAAACGGAAGTTTGTAGCAGTGTTGTTTTAAACATGAATTTAAAGCTCCTTAGCAGGAATTTTTCCATATGTTCCTGTAACTTATATTTTTAGTTTCAGTGGAAACTCCGGGTGACTGCTGACTAGAATAAAATTACCTCAGTTTTGCTCCTATTTCATGTCATAAAAGAGATAAGGAGGCTGCAGACACTTCCGTGCAGCCTGGTTGTGACCTGTGTGTGTGTGTCTGTGTTTTTTATTGTGTGCACATGTAGACCATGGCAGCGACACATGATCACATCCTGTCCTTTTGTGTCCAACAAAAACACTTTATTCTTTTGTTTTTCTGCCCGCTCCTCTTGGTCATCATCAAGGCCCGGATTTTTTTTGTTTTGTTTTTTTTGTTTGTCCTCTTCTTCTTCTTTTTCTGCTTCTTTTATTTTCTGGGCAGGGCTGCACAAGCAATTACAAAAGCATCAAGGCCTAGCCTGTATAATTTGTGTGGAATTTTTGTTCAGGGCCGCTTCTGTGTGAGAGCAGCCTTTCGGAGAACGGCCTCAGCTTTGAATTATGGGCTGGGATTGGGGTTTGGTTTTATTTGAGCTCTCTTTTTCCAACAAACCCAAACCATTTAAATTGTTTTTTAATTTTTTTAATTTTTTTTTTTATGAGGAGCTTGGCTGACACTGAATGATCCACATGTACGTCAGGAACAGATCATCAACTCTTCCGCTAGATTTTCCAAGAATCTTTTTACTGGTTTTCTCCCAAGACTTTTTGGAGCACATCCAGCAAAGACTCTCCTGTTAGCCTTCTTCCACTCTGCTTTGTCTCCCCCATCTCTCTCTAACCAGTGACGCTTTATTCCTGTGTGGTGGTGGTTAATAAGGCCTGTCCCCTCGCTCCTAGCTTCCTCTGATCTCCTCTCTGTTGGGGAAGGAATTGTGGAAGAGCTAGAGTAAGTAGGTCAAGTGCAGCTTCTTGTAGCACTATCACTTCTGTATTTGCATAAAAGCGACTCAGGGTTTTCGACTCACTTTCCAGCTGCAGTTTGATTGGATTGGCTCTCTTGGTTGACTTTTTTTTTTTTGGAGAATATTTTTGTTATACGCTGCAGCTCTTTGTGAAGCAGAGATGCAGTTGGCAGCGGGACACAGGAGGAGGTGGAGTGATTTGTTTCTTTTTTTAAGTTGCTGCTCCTTATGACTGTTATTATGGGAAAAACGAGAGCAGCCAAAGCGTTTGTCAGCATAACATCCAAAGAGAGAAACGGAGAGAGAGGCATTTCTGTGTATTTGCCACAGACTGTATGTAAAAGATGGACAGAGCCACCATGAAGCTTTAAATGGCTGTGCAGAGGTCAGGTCAAGAAATACACATGTTTGCACTCTAACCCTAATTAGGACAAACAAAATTACCGTGACCATGTCCCATTAACTTGCAGTTTCATTGCCTTTGAAATGATTACTTCGAAGATAATAACCAAGAACTGCGACTACTTGCAGTCAGTTGCCATGCTCAAAGCGATTTTGATGCATCTGGACAGTCATAAACAGCAATAAGATGGAGCAATTCCATTGACAGTGGGATTAACTTTATGATTCTTAGTCCTGTTTGTGATAACATGATGATTAACTGTAGTAAATCTGCAAAAATTGCAGTTCTAGAGCCAGGAACTGCAGTTTTTGCACTTTTGTGTTTGCTTCATATCCTGGGTGTTTCTGCTTGGTATTCACAGAGGAAACGGTAAAGCTGCTAATATTTAAACTGTTGCTGCATATTTCTATGTAAATATGATCATTCTGTCAATTAAACTCGATTAGGTTTTAGTGAAGACGCTAATGCATTTGTGACCGAAAGGGATGATTATTCAGATGAATGAGTGTTATTATCATGGAAAGCAGATTAGTTATGTTTGTTTTTTCTTTTAAGTCAGTCTATATTAACCTGTGATTGGATGATTGAATGGTTGGAGCTTTGGGCTTGTTTGGTTCAGTGAGTTTACGCTGGTGTAAAAGCTCTCAGCTGAGCTCAGTTTAGGACGACCTGTGGTTTAAAGCTGTATGAATTTTGGT